AAGAAGAAGAAGAAGAAGAAGAAGAAGAAGAAGAAGAAGAAAGAAAGAAAGTTAAAAGCACCTTGCTACCTCATTTCTGGGGGAAAAGGAGGAAGGTGGTGTACAGACTTCAGCTGGTTCCATTCAGCTGCCTTTTCCTGCTGGTCTTATCGCAGCAGGTGTCTGTGAAGGTTCCTTAATACCAGAGCACTGACCTCACCAAGCCCTTCCCTTTTCTCCACTGGCCAATGAAAGCACAGAAGAGAAAGACAATAACCTTCTGGGATTCTTAGATGGTTTGAAGTGGCTTCCCTTGCTCCCAGGACCCTGAGTATGGAGGGAGGCTGTTGGTGGAGGACATGGGGCTAGGCACTAAGCAACCGCGTTGATGGCTTTGTCATTTTAGGGAAGGGAAAGAATGGGAACAAAGAAGAAAACTGAAGAAATGGGTCAGGCCAGAGAAGAAAGTGCCGTGAACTGTGAGGCAGCAGTAATGCCACTCTGAACCTTCCCTTGTAGCCCTTGAGAAATTTGAGTGTAGAAATGGAATGAAACTTTTAATAGCCATTTATCATTATAGAGACAGTCTTGTTTTTCTTTAGAGCTGACAGGAACTTTAAAAGGTCCACAGATTTAAATGATCTCTATTCTTCTTTCCCAAATTATGCACATAATTGAACACAGGTACCATTAATTCCTTTCCTTTCTGTTATTACATCTCAGATTTTCTTTTTCCTTAAAAATAACTTTCCTTCTAAAATTCTATGAATCTGGTTTGGGCTTGTTTGTGGTAACTAGCTGTGTTCTATAATGATGTCCATGAGACGATACCATCTCTTCTCAGCACTGACTAGAGGTGGGGAATTTCTGACAGAAAGAACTGATCAAAGATCTTACCAACTCAGCATACTTCTTGAATAAGAAATCAAGCTTGTCTTCGGCTGTTTGCAGCTTGTTCAGATTTTGCATTAGCAAGTTAGCTTCTTTGCCTTGAAAAAAAAATTCAAAAATCAGTGTTGAACTTGTAGTAGGATGATAGGGACTGCTATTTCCTACTGATCTCTTGGAAATTAAGACCAATTTCAATCAAACCACTAACTTGGCTGAGCCTTTGATAACAGTTTTCTCAACCTATGAGAAAGGATGACCCCTGCCTTTCAGAGTAAGGATTAGCTTGTGTGATACAGCCTCAAATTCAGGTAGGATTTCAATAAATGTTTACTAAAACAGTAGTCCCAAATTTCCATTACTCCCCCTTATGTATCCTAAATATTTTAAAGGTAAGTATGTTACAACGCTGACTTTATGAAATGATAAAGTCATTTCATAATTAGTCATTATTAGTCTTAATTAGTCATTACCCATTTCCTATGTCAACTAATAAAAAAGAAACAGCATGGCTAATCAGAATTCCTGATGAGTAAGAGAGCCAGTATCAGTACATGTTGCCAGAACTTCATGATGTTGCCGGAACTTCAGCCCAAGCAGAGCCTGTTTGTCCCATATTGTCCTGGTACCTCCCTTTGAACCAATCCTCTCCTTTTGGCTAAACCTATTCATCAGATGTGGGTGGGAATAACTCTAATCATATTGTCTACCAGAGAATAAAAACCAATATATAAGGGAAAAGATCCAAACCTCGGAGATATTTCACAGGTGTGTGGTCCATGACTTTGGGCTCAGCCTTCTCATGCAGTCATTTCTTCTACCCAGATCTTAATCTCTGCTGGCAGCTTCATTTTCTTTTCTCCCCAGTTGGACATCAAGCTATATTTTAAAACTCATATGTTCCTGATTACTTAACAGAGAGATTTAGGTTCTCCCCTGCCTTCTTCCTTCTGTCTCCTTTAGTTTTGCCTCTCTGTGATGCTGGTTAACCATCTGTCCAGTGTCGGGAGGGATGTCTGGGATGCTTTGGCCCATATTTACTACTGATTACCATTTTTTGCAATCCATCCTGCCATGGTGGAGGATTTTTCCCTTCCTCACCTATCTGTGATAGCCACTTGGTGTACTCCCAGTAAGGAGGTTAGGCCACTGAGGAGAGCCCATGTTTCCTGATATAACCTTGCCGAAGAATGTGAGCAACTTTGAAACCTTTTCCCTAAGAACTGACATTTTCCCCTGGGATGGAATACTTGCTTTCATCCTGGAGAAGCAAATCTATCAGGAATTCGGATTGCCTCCAAAAGACAGGCATGAGACATGCATGCTTACCAGTATATACACTGTTTACTCAGGACTCAGTTCAAGTGGACACCTTATATTTTTATTTGTTAAATATGGCAAACCCCCATGGGATTACAAAATTTTAGGTCTAGAAGGATCTCCAATGACGTCTAGACTAGCCAATTTAATTTTCCAGATGAAATATCCAAGGCCCAGGAAACACCAACAATATATGATGACTGCTGATATTGCAAAGAGTTTAATCCAAGGTGACTTGCTCTAAGATCTCACTTGGAATTTCGGTGGTAAAGAGATGTAGTGAAACAAAGGGGAATGTCTAGAAGCAAATGACCTCATTCCTAATGTTTATCTTTATAATTGGTCTCTCTCGGCGCAGTGAGTCAGTTCAGATCTGAGACTGGACTACGACAGGACAGAAGGTGGCTGTGAGTGGGACTCCACCCAGCTCCTAGCCCTTGCACTTGGTGCTGCCCTTTGCAGCTGATGACACTGATGCTTGCCTCTGCTCGGCTTGTACTTCCAGCTGCTCTTCTGGCAGCTGGGGGTATCCTTCACAGGCCAGACCATCCTTTCACCCTTGACTTCAGAGCCATAAATATAGGCATGTGAAGATTGCTCTCCTGGGTCACTTTTACCTATCAAAGGCAAGCAAGTTGCTGTGTTCCTCAGGTTAGGGCCAGGGCCTAGCACAGTGTTTGGTCCATGACAAATGCTAAGTAACACTAATAATATAGTGAAATAAAGCTATCTATCAGATACAGGTATCAGGCAAATCAAATGGCATTGTCCTGTTTAAGTAGAGGAAGGTAAACCTTTACCCTCACCTGGAGATTTAGTGTGTGGAAACATTTCTCGGGGTAAGCATTAACATATGAAGCCATCACATGTCCAATTGGAAGGGCAAAGAAATGAGCGACTCCAGTGTTTTCTTCTTTTCACATAAAGGGTTTGTCTCTTTAGGTTGTATTTTGGTAGCTGTACAGAGGCCATTTTGTTGTTCTTACTGTATAATCTTCATGTTAACTGAGGTCCCATTCTGCTCTAGTTTGCCATTTTGTGTAAATGTTTATCATTCTAGTGTATCAATACACCTTCAAAAATTGTTCTCAGCCTCAAAAGAAAATTCAAGAAGCTAGAGAGAGGCGTGGTTCAGAATTCATCAGAGATGTTAGGTGTTAAACTTGCATGGGTTCTGTGGGGCTGGGGTGCTGTGTGGGACACTCGTGGAGGAGAGGAACAGACAGAGATGTACTCAGTCTCTAAGAGAACTGTTAGTGCATTTCCATGGAAACAGAACCATGTGCTGGCATATTAGACACAAGAAGAAAACCTGACTCCACCCCAGGACATTTTATCAGGTGGCCGTCATCTGCCTTCTCCCTAATGTACCATTCTGAAGGAAGCCTCAATTCTCCCTGTGAAAGCTGAGGAAGGCAGGCAGCGGATATGTGACTATCAATGCAAAATGCTATTTGTTGGGAAGCTATATGAGAGTTGAAGCACCTGTGCAGTGAGGACAACACTTCGGCCTTTGGCTGTGACTCTGGCACAGTTGTCAGAGTATGAAGGAGCTAGTTTTAGACATTTTTTAAGAAATCTTTTTTTTTTTTGTCCATCATTTGGAAAAGAAATTAAGGACCTTAACTTTTAGACAACTGAAATAGCTGTAGAAATGTAAACCAGGATTTTTCTCAAATATGGTGATTCTTACTTCTACTAAATGTCATGATTGCTTGCATAGGTGTAATGTATCCCTAAACTTATGCTTTTCTCTTTCAGTTTCTTTTATTTTATTTTTGGTGATGAGGATAAAATTTGTTCTTGTGCACTCACTTGTACAGTTCTGTTTCCTTCTTTTTGTCCACGTATTGTTATGAAATGTTACACCCAGAGTCACAATTTAATATTAATTTTTGTTCTCCTACTAATACAACTGAACATCGGTAAGGGTAAAACAAGGCGTTTTTCAACATTAATAGGTATCTTTTCAGGAAAGTTCACATCTAACTAGGAGACCTAAGTTTTAGAACTTGTCCTTCCATCAGCAAGTTGAACAACTTTGTAGTCTCAGTTTCCCTGCATATCAAAATAAATTAATGAGTTGACTAAATGGATTCTGGATCAAGTCTTTAAGATTTGGTGACTTGTCAGGTAGTGGTACCTTTAATCCCAGCAGAGGAAGAGGGAGGCAGAGGGAGGTGGATCTCTGTGAGTTCAAGGCCAGCCCCAAACAGGGAATGAATCCTTTGACTGGAGACTGTTTTCTTGAGCCCTGACTATGTTTCTCTAACACCTCTCTCTTCTCAATTCTGACCCAAGTTTCTGCTTTTCTGTGAACCTACTCATCCATCTTTGAGTCCCACTAGTTCCTCTTCTCCCTGAGTTCCGTTGGCCTCTCCTCCCTTCCTCAAGAACATCTAGAATTCATATCAAAGCTACATGTTGTCCTTTAAGAATATATATAAGTCAACCAGAAATGCTTCAGACCTTCTGGTGTGTGTGTGTGTGTGTGTGTGTGTGTGTGTGTGTGTGTGTGTGTGTGTGTGTTTATTAGCAAAATAAATGCTGTCTGTCTTCATGGGGGGGG